GTTGATACTGTTAGACAAATATAAGCAAAACTGCAAGTCTAGCCACATCTGTAAATGTGAGCCATTTGTAGTACATCTGTTATGTACCCATACAAATTTTAAAAATAAAAACAAAAGGTAATCTAAGCATGCTTCTTTAAAAAGTTTTCAGCCATTTACAAGGCAAAAGTATAATTCTGCAGATGAGTTATGAACTGAGTCTTTATGTTTGCAGCTACATTTAAAATCTAACAAGTTATTTTATTATTGGAAAGTGCCATGATTTCATCGACCAGATTTTTATCCATGGGTGATTACTGCAAATGGAATATTTTGGTCTTAGACTTCAGGATGTGCATTCATCAGTGTCAACTATATAAAATTTTATTAGTCTCTAGGTTTTTGTGTACATTTCTCTAATGCATTTATCTAGCTTTTAGTTTGAAAGGCTGCAACAAATAATTTTTTTGGCTCATCACATATAAGTTTACAATTTTAAAATCTTTTTTCTTTAAACTATGAACAATTGGTCTCAAAACAATTCTTCAACTCGACTGTCACTATAATACTATTCAAAAATGCACAGCTCATCATTGAGAAGTATACTTTGCAATTTCTTCCTGAGATTTACATCTTAGTAGCATCACCTGCATCCTTCTTTGTACATTCTACTTGATAACAACTGCTTTGGGCATTATTCCACACATTTTGTGGCTTAGGATTTTTAGCTCTTCTCTGATTTACTGAAAATGGAATTTGTGTTTTTGTTACTTGTTTTCTTTGTTGTTTTGGGATAATTTTCAGGGGGAAAAGGGATGTGCCAATATTATATGAACGTCTTCAGGTTGGAAGTCACCACAAAATTGTTTTTTAAGAACTAAGCGTTTTACTCTATTATACAATATATACAGAAAAGAACACAAATCATGGCCGGGCGCGATGGCTCATGCCTGTAATCCCAGCACATCGGGAGTCCAAGGTGGGCGTATCACCTGAGGTCAGGAGTTCAAGACCAGCCTGGCCAACATGGTGAAACCCCATCTGTACTGAAAATACAAAAATTAGCTAGGCGTGGGGGCAGGCACCTGTAATCCCAGCTACTCGGGAGACTGAGGCAGGAGCATCTCTTGGACCCAGGAGGCAGAGGTTGCAATGAGCCGAGATCATGCCATCGCACTCCAGCCTGGGCAACAAGAGTGAAACTCCCTCTTAAAAAACAAAAAACAAAAATACCTCACAAATTATGAATTTACACCTTCATTAATTATCACAAAGGAAACACCCATGTAACCATCACTAGGTCAAGAAATGGAATAAGACCAGCGCCCCAGAAGTCTGCATCGTGTTCTGCATCGTGTGATCTCAAGTATGTCTCCAATAGCATGAATGGATTCTAGGCACCAGATAGAATGACTAAAAAGCTAGATGATATTAGGAATATGGTGAAGAGTACAGATATTACTTCTCTCAACAAGGAAGAAAAGACATTCAGAAATTCTAGGGAAAAATATTCTTTAAGTATTCATGGTCCAAATATGAAGTGAATTAGAATATGACCTGATTTAGAGACTGGTGTGAGTAAAAACGATCCATTTGACCTTTATGCTGAGAATTTTACCCTTTGTGGGTCACAAGTTTTGACAGTGACCCTTAGTGAAAGTAATTTAATCATATTGAAGCAAACAATTCCTATACAATCATAATAATGTATTATTTATTGATTTTCAACTTATTGACAAAACAATGAAGGGTTTGTTACGAGTATAGAACAGAATGTAAATGTTACCAACTTTGGAAATAGAAAACCCAGCAAGGAGAAGGCCATAAAGAAATGCAGGTACTATTAGAATACAAAGGAAGACATCAAGAGACATGACTTGTATTTAGTGGAACCAGAAAGAGCTTTTAGAACATTGTTGATGTATAAAAATAGGGGAACTAAAAATGGTGATATAACTATAAACATTTTGAAGTGAAGAGGAATGGTTTTATGAGCTCATATTTCGTCTGTCACAGAAAAAGTCACTAGATACATTTTCTAAAACTGATAGTTTAGGAAAATGCTGTAAGGAAATTATTTTAAGAGTTGGAACTAACTACTAGAAGAACTGAAGTACAAATGGTTAAAAATTCTTGTCTCTGGGAGAGGGAATTTTATTTTTGATTATGTAAATGTTTGAATTTGATAAAAATAAGCTGCATATTAAAAGACACATCATATCAAATTGGATTATTTCCAGAAATGCAAATATAATTCAACATCAGAAAATCTGTTGAACTAAGTCACTACTTTAATAGATTGAAAGAGAAAAATAATAATCATCTCAAATAGGTACAGAAAAATTCAATAAAATTAAACAACCATTTATGATTCTAAAACTGGGAATTAAAAAATATTAATTTGAAAAAGTTATAAATGGAAAAACATGCCAGCTATATTTATAATCAATATTCAAATGCTAAAACTATTACCTTTAAAATCAAGAGTAAGAAAATGCTGTTGTTACTTTGATTCACAATTGTTCTGGAAGTCCTACCCTGCAGAATAATATAAGGAAAAGAAATAAGAAGTACAAATAATGGGAAAGAAGAAAAATATCCATCTTTCACTACAGATTATTCACATAGAAACTTCCCAAGATATATAGGCAATAAAAAATATTTAGCAAGGTTGCTGGATGTAAGATTTTATTTCTATACATTTTTAACAGAAAATGTATTTTTAAAAGATGTTATTACAGTAACTACAAAAAAAAAATAAGACCTTTAGGGATTAATCTAATGAAAGTTGTGAAACAATTGTAAAATTTCATTGAAAGAGACAAGAAAACATACCATGTTTATAGTTAAGAAGGCTCAGTATTGATAAATGCCAAGTATTCTAAAAATGATTGATAGATTTAATGTAGTTTAGTAATAGGTTCTATTTTGTGGAATTTGACAAACTGATGCTAAAATTTATATAAGAGAACAAAAGGCAAGATTGGTCAAAATTTATATAAAAGAACAAAAGGCAAGATTGGTCAAAAGACACCTAAAAAAGAACAACCTACTAATTCCACCTCCAGGTAATTTGTGCACGTATGCGCCAGACTATATGTACTCAAAATTTATAACAGCCTTGTTCATAACAGTAAAGACCAAAATAAAACAAAATTAGAAAGAAATCACATGTCCATCAATGGTAGAATAGATACATAAATTGTGATATATTCCTATACGGAAATACTACATAATAACAGAAAAAAAAAGTGAATAACATCTACCTGCATTAGCCTGGATGAATTTTCAAAGCCTAGTGTTTAAAGGAAAAAGAAAATAATAGATAAATGCACTCAATATGATTCTCTTCCTATAAAGTTCTAAAAAGATAAAGTTAACAATGTTTTATTTATTACATGTTATGTAATGTATATGTTTAAAGAGTAAAGGACAGATAAGGGATTAGTAACACAAAATTTTGGATAGTGATTATTTCTGGGACATGAGCTCAGGCAGCAAGAGAGAAATGGAATTAGAGAGAGGCTTATAAGATACTCCCAAAGTACTGGGAATTTGTATTCCAAGGTGGATAGTGAGTATGTAGAGATTCATCTTATTCAAGAAAACATGCGTAGGCCATTAACCATAGAAGATTCTATTTCTCTTCCTTTTATCGCTTCCCAGAGACAACCACTATTCTAATCAAATATTTATTTGCATGTAAATGATACAAATAATCATATTGTTTTCAAACTTATATAAATGGTATCATACTCTATATCACCTGGAACCTGTGCTAACTCATTATATGTTGTCAGGATCTATCCATCATTACTCTTATAATGCCCATTTTAAAGAAAAGTAAGAGGTCAGGCGCAGTGGCCCATGCCTGTAATCCCAGTACTTTGGGAGGCCGAGGCAGGTGGATCACCTGAGGTCGGGAGGTCAAGACCAGGCTGACCAACATGGAGAAACCCCGTTTCTAATAAAAACACAAAATTACAAAATTATCTGGGCGTGGTGACACATGACTGCAATCTCAGCTACTTGGGAGGCTGAGGCAGGAGAATCGCTTGAACCCGGGAGGAGGAGGTTGCGGTGAGCCAAGATCACGCCATTGCAGTCCAGCCTGGGCAACAAAAGTGAAACTCCATCTCAAAAAAAAAAAAAAAAAAAAAAAAAAAAAAGGTAGGGGGGAGGAGAGAGGAGGGGAGGAGAGGGGAGAAGAGAGGAGGAGAGGGGAGGAGAGGAGAATCAAAAGCCCAGAGAGGCCCAAAGCACAGAGAAATTCAGGGTCACACACTAGTGAGTGTACAACTGGGATCTGAACTGAGATTCCACACTATATTTTCTCCCATATAGATCTAATTCATTCACTTTAAATGGCTTCAAATGATTAGACTCCTGTTTATATTTTAAAGTTTCCTTTTTTTAATATTGCAAACAGTACTTTGTGCAAACCTCTTGGTACACATTTATGGGTATCTGCATTTTCAGTTTTCTTAGATCTTGCCAAATTGCTTTCCAAATAGTTGCCCTCACAAGTAATGTGTGAACATTCCAATTTCTTCACATTATTACCAATATTTATTATTTTCAGATTTTGGTTTCTATCAGTTCCTGAGGGATATGAAATGGTACTTCATTGTAATTTGCCTTTTTCTAATTTTTAGTGATGCTAAAAATTTTGGTCATTTGGGTTTACTTTTCTATGAATTGCCTGTTGATATTCTTTGCCCACTTTTTCTATGAATTGCCTGTTGAAATTGTGTTGCTTGACGTTTGTTTGTTGATTGGTACAAGGTGTTTACACATATTAGAGAAGGATAATTCACATATATATATTAAATATCTTTTTCTCAGTCGGTGGTTGGTCTTTTAACTTGGTGTTTGGTGTCTGCGTGATACAAAATATTTTTAAATTGAACGTAGTATCATGTGTCAGCATTTCCTTTATGAGCTGTGCTTTTTTTCTGTTCATGATTGTTTTTCAAGGAAAGCATAACATTGTATTACAAAAAAAAGTTTTTCACTTTCAGACAACTACCAAGTCCTCTTCCAGACTTCCTGTACATTTTTGTACCAAAATGATGATGTGTGTGACAGCACAGATGGTAGAAAAAAGACTCAGACCAAAGTGGATATTACATGGATCCTTCTACTGCGCTACTATATTCACCTTCAGAGGATTAATAATCTGAGCAAACTGCTAGGTAGGTTTTTGATGTGTTAAGAGAGAACATATTTCCTTCTAATTCCTGTTTAAGTCATGTTTCTTGTTGAGAATTATAAGATACTTTGACATCTTTCTGAGTGACTGTCATCAGAAGATGAAAATTTCATGGGTTCTTAACCTGGGATACATGCATCTTTGGATAGAATAGTATTTCAATGTAATTGGTTCCTTTAGAAATTTTCTATATATTATTTCAGATGTTTAAAAACATTATGATAAGGAGGCATCCAGAGGCTTTCTAAGACCACTGCCAAAGTGGTCCATGGCTCAGAGCAGTTAAGAACTAGTAATTCCAATGTGACACTTTATGAAATGAGCAAGATGCCATTTTGGCTTTAGAGAAAGAGTGGTGCAGTAGCCAGTATGTCAAAGGGAAGAAATGCAAGACTTCAGATGGGATATTAATTCCATGGAGTTTTTTTTTTTTTAAATTATTGGTGCTATCTAAAAAATATCCAGAAAAACTGATAAAATCTGCTTCACATCAGTCCCCCTTGTGATTGTGTGACATTGTTGTTTTATCTGTGCTCATGATGTTGGTGATCCAGTGTTGCTCATCAGTGCAAACAGTCAGACTAGATAATTTGACCCATGCCAGGGCACAGTAATGGGGAAACCAGCAGGGCAAATAGGCTGAGTCACAGAGTTGCTAAGCACAGTTACCAGGAACTAACAAACCCTCTGAAAGATGTCAGGACAAAAAGGTTCATGGTGACGGGGGCTAGAGCAAGGGAAGTTCGGAGGGAAAGGACGTGGACAAGAGCCAGTGCAGCCAGCCCTGGTGATCCCTTGCCCTTCAGCCACTCTGATCACCTCTGAATTCACCTGCTGGCACTTCCCACCACAAGTGCCATGTCGCACTGCTTTTCTGCCCTGGACTTTCTTTGAAGCTACTGAGGTTTGACCAGCCTGCAGACAGGGTTTCCACAGACACAGGAGTAACCTTCAACTATTGAGGTAGGGAGCTCCTAGATAAACATACCAGCTTCTCAGTCTCTCGATGGGATAGTTCTATGTGGTTTGTCAGAAGGTCCCCAGTGGGACTGAGCCCTCACTGCCCAAGGCTGTAGCCCACTCATTTACTCGCCCTTATTGGCTCTTTTTCTTTTCTCTGTCACATTTTGTCCATTTCCTCACTTGTGCTTCTTGAAATGACTTTTCAGATAAACTGTCTACAAATTCTTACCTTAGAATCTGTTTTAGGGGGAACCCAAAAGAAAATAGGTACATGGAATATATGGCACCATTGTTAATACCTAAAACTAAGCATTAGCCTCATGTGCCTCTGAAATTTTCTTTTTTTAATCTTTTTTTTTTAAATTGTCACCCAGGCTGGTATGCAGTGGTGCAATCTTGGCTCACTGCAACCTTCACTTCCTGGGTTCAAGTGATTCTCCTGCCTCAGGCTCCTGAGTAGCTGGGATTACAGGCATGTGCCGTCATGCCCAGCTAGTTTTTATATTTTTAGTAGAGATAGGGTTTCACTATTTTGGCTAGGCTGGTCTCAAACTCCTGACCTCAGGTAATCCTTCCACCTCAGCCTCCCAAAGTGCCAGGATTATAGGCATAAGCCACTGCGCCTGGCCTGAAATTTTCTTTCCTTCCGTGGCAAGAAACAATTCCATTAGTGTATAAGCCCTAGAAACAGAGGAAGGTCATTGGCAGCCTTTAGTGGAGGTGGGAATATGTAAAGATAGTAGTTAGTGAGCAAATACCAACAATATTGAGATCATCCTGTTTTCTAACATTAACCTAAACTAAGGTATTTTTCTTTCTTAAGCATCTGCAACACCAGTATCTGGAATTTCTTTGCCAGATGATACACTTCTCACATCCCTTTACAACTCTGAGTTGATTTTGCGCCAGAAAGAAGTGCATTTTTTCCTTAAAAAATTCTTACAGCTGTATTCTTCTTCCTGTATTGATGAATTTCCAAAAGAACTTCTTTGTCAACTGGAAAATCCCTGTCTTTCAGAAAAAGAATTATGTGAATCATCTGCCAAGGTAACGTGTTTTGAAATATCATATGTTTACATAAAACTTATTGGAATCATCCTTATATTTCGGAAGGAAGCACATTAGCTTCCATGCTGGCACAAAGATTTCTAGTTCCCTCACAGTTCTAGGGAAGGCTCTTTCCTGTGTTACCATGTGGTTAGGCCAACCAAACATCCTGGGATTTTAGGACAGTTCACATGTCAATTGTTCAGTCTTGTTTTCATGAGTCTTTTAAAGTGCCTCAGAAGTCTCTGTATTCCTGCGCAAAACAGCATCTCTCAAGCGACCATTTTGCCAAGAAGTTACACAAGTTTCAGTATCATCACCCTATAAGAAAGCTAGACTGAGAGTGTCTAAATCTGTGCCCAATTTCTGTACCTTGGTTTTAAATGCGTGATAAAAATTCTTCATTGTGGGTACTTTTTGCAATCGTGAGTGTGAATAAATAATAGAGGTAACACTGTAAAATAAAAGTGCAAAGGCTTTTTATTTGGAAAAGTGTTATTAAATTGGATACATTTTCCCAAGATATGTAATATGGAAACATTTTAAGATACTGATTGTAGAGACATAGAAAGAGGAATATAAATGGAGATTTTTAAAAATTAAAGCTACTAAAGTCTTGAATAATCGTAGTTTGGATAAACTTCCAAAATGAATGTGATAAAAGATACTGAAAAAGTAAAGGATTTTATTTAAAAATAAGAATATGTATTTGAAATTTGGTATTCAGCCAACCTATGTGGAATGCCTACTGTGTGCCAGAGACACTGTTAGTTGGTGGAGAAACAAAGGATGGATAAAGCATAGGCCCTGTACATATAGTCTTAGTGTGGTGGTAGAGAAACAGTGACAGGGTTAAAACAGAGGAAAGTTACTTTATTTTAGAGATGTTTTTTAAGAGAAAATGGCAGGATTAATACTAGCAGAAATAATGTGAAAATTAGTACATCTTAGTTTTACTTTCAATAGGGCTGATTGGCAAAGGATAGATGAAAAAGTGAGGCTTTTTTTTTTTTTTTTTTTTGGAGACGGAGTGTCTCTCTGTTGCCCAGGCTGGAGTGCAGTGGTGTGATCTTGGCTCACTGCTACCTCTGCCTCCTGGGTTCAAGCGATTCTCCTGTCTCAGCCTCCTGAAAAAGTGAGTTATTTAAGAGACAGGTGATGAAGTTATGAAGCTTATGACACAAGAATGGAAAGGAAGAGGTGGCTGTAAAACATATTTGCTTAAGTAACATTGAAAACAACAACAACAAAGACAGTTTTGTGACTCTTTGGACCTGGAAAGTGAAGAGGAAATGACTAGAGCCTCTTGTACCATTTGGAACTTCTATCTGTGATCATTAGTGCATGGTGACATCATTAGCACATACAGGGGAGGCAGGAGGATGAGCGCGTTTTTCTGCTTTGTAGATACGGAATTGGAGATTCTTGTAGAAAACGCAAGTGGACATAGCATATTGTAAGCTTCCAATACATATTTGTGAAATGAATAAGTTGTACAGAATTCTTTCAAAACTAGAAAAAAATCACTGATTTATATTGAATTATCTCTACTTTGGACTTTACCATTGAACTCTTTAATTTTTATAGCTATAGATTTTCCCATATAAGATATATTCATGTTACCATTGCCAGCTCTCCCAGAGAAGTTCCCAGAGAACTGATAATGTGGCTTGTTCCAGAATGGTGACCCTTGCTTATCTTATCCTACTAGAATATAGTAACCTTATGTTTTGGGTAGATAACTATACTTTTTTTTTTTTTTTTTTGAGACGAAGTCTTGCTCTGTCGCCCAGGCTGGAGTACAGTTGCGCGATCTCAGCTCACTGCAAGCTCTGCCTCCCAGGTTCACGCCATTCTCCTGCCTCAGCCTCCTGAGTAGCTGGGACTACAGGCACCCACCACCATGCCTGGCGAATTTTTTGTATTTTTAGTAGAGACAGGGTTTCACCACGTTAGCCAGGATGGTCTTGATCTCCTGACCTCATGATCCACCCACCTCGGCCTCCCAAAGTGCTGGGTTTACAGGCGTGAGCCACCACACCTGGCCGATAATTATACATTTTTTAAAAACATCACTCTTGAACATTTCTTCCCTACTCAAGAGAGTCAGATGACTGTTAATAAATTATAAGTTTTAAAAAGTAGTGGAAAGACCTATTAAGATATTTTTAAGAATCCAGTCAAAGAAATGATTCTCAGTTGGGGTCCTGCAGTGGCCCTCAGTGCAATGTATTGAAAGCACACTGGAAGATTTTTCAAACGACTTCCTCTCTCTTCCCAGATACTGGGATATCGTGGCATGCCCGATGCTTAGCAACCCCATTCTGTGCCCAGATTCTAAATCATTCAGGAAATAAGATAAAAGAGTAAAACAGATTGGGATTTAAAAGTGCTCATCTTTAGGAGTCATGAAGTTGATATTATAGGATGTGGTTTATATTTATTGGTGAAATGATCTTCATAGTAATGAGTACCAAAGTAGACAGATTTACTAATCTGGCCTCATATTATTGGGTCATTTCAGGCTCCTCACATGGGGACAGGCTCCTTAAAATCTGTTACATGAGGAGCAGAGAGTGTTCACTTCCTGCAAACATTTTACTCCCAGGAAGAAAGCACAGAAGTAGGCATGCCCAAAGTTCTTTTTCCCAGATTCAGCAATCGAGCAACACTCCTCCATGGGAAGGAGTGAGTGAGGGGGCGAGCAGGCCGGGAAGGTAATGTTAATGTCTGGCCCTGCACACAGAAGCGCTCAGTGGGAGCGGAATGAAATCGTTGCCATCTAACACCAGATTCAGATTCACCCCTCCTGGGAACTGAGACTGTCTTTGAGAATTACTGCCAGGTGTCACAGATACCTCAGGCATTTTGGAGTAGGAGGCAGAGGACAGGAAGACTGAGAACAATAGTTTCAATTGATCTATTCTTGTGAATATTATCTAAGAGTTCAGAAACTAATAGGTGTGATTTCTTAAATACTATTCTAAAAGGAGCTCTGCTTGAGTATTTTAGTATTAAGGGCAGTCTATCATTACCCGTTTCCTAAAGATTATGCTCCAAATGTTCAAGCTTGAATACATTGTAAATACATGTGACATTTCTAATGGCAGCAGTGTTATCAAAGAGTTGTTTCACCTTGTTTGCTCTTTTTTGATATAATTAGTGTAACACTCCCCAGGATAATCAGCTCTGGAGATCACTGTCTCTTGCCTGACAGGTGCAAACCACCTCATCATGTGTTCGTTTCACTGGGGTAGACAGCTAACGAGCATAAAGCCTTTTGGATTTATATATATACATATATATATAAACTCCAAGCTTGGCTGATTTTTATAATAACATCTTTGAACCTTTAATCACTCAGGAGGCTATTTTCAATCAAGCTCGTTCCATAATTTGACACTTAAACCTACTTTCCCCCACAAAGAAGTAGATGCCTTTCCAGAACAATCATTGCTCTGTGTTGTGCTCATCAGTTGTGTGATTCTGCATGTTGTTAAGTCTTTCGGAGCTTTGTGATGGAAAAGCAAAGGTGGCAAACAAGTTACATTAAAAATTCCCCAAAAAGAATATGATTAAAATTGTGCGTAATGCTGAGTTATTCATGCTTGGACTGTATGCCTGTGACAGTCAGTGTAAGGTTAAACATCTGACTAGCATGAGCTGCTTTACTGTTTATAGGACTGTGGCAAACCAGAGTTCTCCTGGTAGGCCTGTTGTTTTATTTCTTTCAAAGAATAAAAAAAAGTAGAATAAAAGTACTCAGTGTATAATTCATCAATTAGCGTATGTAATGAGTCCTCTTGGCAACTACATATTATAGTATTTGAAAGGTAATGGAAAATTAAATACCTATTTTGATATTGACTTGTGTTTATAATTTATCATTATTAGACTGCTGTGCTAATAAACAATGCACATATTGAAATAAAAGGTATTTTTACTTTTCAATACTTATCTAGTTAATGAATATGAAGTATTTGCTAAAATAGTTGTCAGAACCTCTGAAAGTCACTCAGATATGAAGAAATTTAAGAAATTATTTTTGAATCAATTATTTACTTGATTTTTTTTTTTTTTGATGAACTGCCTGACATAAAATTACTCTTAATTAAGCACTTACAAATGATTGTTTAACCCTGCTAATCTTGCTTATTGTGTATTTTGGTCATGCTTTTAGAAGCAAGGATTCTGGTTTATAATAGCCTTTTATGATTGTCTCTAGACATTTAGAAAACTTTTCACATTTAATATTACCTTTCAGTCAAAACATTTTTTCTTTTATCAGTAGACAACTTGAAAGGTCAGTGTTTTTATTTCCGTTTTTATTTTATTTTGAAGACTTACATTCACAATCATATTATATCTTGAATAGGCTCAGAAATAATGGGAAGGACAAAGCCTTATAGAAACGCCAGGCATTTCTTTCTGGCCACTGACAAACACTCCTTGGTCATCAAACTTTGACAGGCCTTAGATATCAAAAAGACTGAAATAGAGGGACCACTTCCCAGCTGCCATGCTATAATCTTGGGCATAACAAGAAGTTAATATTGAAAGTAGTTTGCACTTCATTGAAGAAGGTCCTTTTTTTTTTTTTTTGAGACAGAGTCTCGCTCTGTCACCCAGGCTGGAGTGCAGTGGCATGATATTGGCTCACTGCAACCTCAGACGGTCCTTTTTAGACTTGAAATATTGTTTTTACCATTATTATCTCTGTGGCTAGCCTGTTGTTTTGTTGATCATTAGCAACCATGCTTTGCTTTTTCAGTTACCTTAAACAACTAATTAAGTAATTTACCAAATTGGCAATTGCATTCTATACATTTATATTTCTTGAAGATTCCTCATTCAGTGACCAAAATTGCATAAAAGAAGCTGGGCCCATATTCATCACGGACCAAACTTACCAATCAGCCACATTCATTTAAGGAGAGGAGGATTTTAAATTTTCAGAGCAAGTGGATTTTAGAGGAATGGATTTTAGACTTTGGAGCAAAATATGTCTTATTTTCCATATGGCATTGCAAAAAAAATACTATTGGAAAAATAATAGTAATTTATAACCACACCCTTAGTATATTCACCAGTGAAAAAACCAGAAACCAAATAGGTGTTCCTAGAAACAGTGGTGATGTTGAGACTGAAATGGTGGCATGAGCATTTTCCCTGCTAGATCTTCATCCTGTAAGACTTACCAGAGTGGAAGAGATTTGTTGAGTTCACTGAGTTCTGAAGCATATATATCTATATCTGTCTCTATATATCTATACCTATATATGTATATAGATATCTATCTATGTCTATATCTATATCTATGTATATATTTTTTGAGACGAAGTCTTGCCCTGTCGCCCATTCTGGAGTGCAATGGCACGATCTCAGCTCACTGCAACCCCTGCCTCCCGGGTTCAAGCAATTCTCCTGCCTCAGCCTCCTGAGTAGCTGGGATTACAGGTGCACACCACCATGCCCGGCGAATTTTTGTATTTCTTTGGTAGAGATGAGGTTTCACCATGTTGGACAGACTGGTCTCGGACTCCTGACTGTGTGATCCACCCGCCTCTGCCTCCCAAAGTGCTGAGATTACAGGCGTGAGCCACTGCGCCTGGCCAGCATATTTTTACTGCAGGAGAATCTTCTCTGTAGTAAGCCAGGGTTAGTTTTAAGATTTACCTCTGTAAAACAAGCTGAGACAATCCCAGAATTTTTCAATATAGCCAAATAATTTGTTTTATATATGTAACAAATGTAACCAGTAATTAAACTGATGTTTTTGTTTGTTCCCTAGTTGTATCGTGATAGTTCTCTACAATCCATTTTATCTTTTAAGCCTGTTTCAAGCTCGTCTTGTGTGGAAATAATGCCAATAGAAATGGTAACACAAGCTTCAAACAAAGAACTTTGCTTTCAGTGGTACATTCCTCCCTTGGATAGACCTCCCAAGGAGACAGAACCTATGGTATGTAATATAATTATAGAACTCAATCTTTCATTTAGATATAAAGCTTAACTAGGCCATTATAACTTGAAGAGTAGAGGACATTCTCTTATCATATAGATGAGAACAGGTAGAAATATATAATCTATATTGTCTAGTAGAATAAATTTGAAAATAACCAAGAAATCTGAGAAAGTCTGATTCAGGCTGATCATTTTTCTTTTTCCTGATCCCATAGGGAAAATTTTCAGTGTGTCACCATTATATATGATGTTTAACTTTTCTTTGGTAGTTATTTATCATGTTAAATAATTTTTTTACTGCTATTTTGCTAAGAATATTTACCATGAATATTTTACTGTATCAAGATGATTTTTATAATTTTTCTTTTTAATATTTAGTTAATTTTATAATGTTAGATCAACCTTGTGTTTCTGAGATAAACTCAAATTGATCATGATATATTTATTTTGCTGGATTCAGTTTGCTATTATTTGTATTAGATTTTTGCCTCTGTTTTCCAGAGTAATATTGGGCTAATTTTATACTATTCTTTAAAAAATTTTATTATTTTTTAATTTCAATAGGTTTTTGGGGAACAGGTGGTGGTTGGTAACATGGATAAGTTCTTTAGTAGTGATTTCTGAGTTTTTGGTGCACCTATCACCCGAGCAATGTACGCTGTACCCTGCTTACCCCTCTCCCACCCTTTCCCCTGAGCCCCCAAAGTCTATTGTATCATTCTTACACATTCGCATCCTCATAGCTTAGCTCCTATCTCATGAGTGAGAACATACGATGTTTGGTTTTCCATTCCTGAGTTACTTCACTTAGAATAATAGTCTCCAATTCCATCCAGGTTGCTGTGAATGCCATTATTTCATTCCTTTTTATGGTTCATTAGTATTCCATGGTGTGTATGTGTGGTATATCACATTTATTGACTTGTGTATGTTAAACCATCCCTGCATCCCTAGTATGAAACCCACTTGACCATGGTGGATTATCTTTTTTATGTGCTGCTGAATTTGGTTCACTAGTATTTTTTGGATGATTTTTACATTTATGTTCATTGGGGATATTGGTCTGTAGTTTTCTTTTTTTGTTAAGTCCTTTCCTGGGTTTGGTATTTGGGTGATACTGGCTTCATAGAATGATTTAGGGAGGATTCTCTTTTTATCTTTTGGAATAGTGTCAATAGGATTTGTACCACTTCTTCTTTGAATGTCTTTTTTTTTTTTTTTTCTTTTTCGAGGCAGAGTCTCACTCTATTACTCAGGCTGGAGTACACTGGCATGGTCTTAGCTCACTGCAACCTCTGCCTCCCAGGTTTAAATGATTCTTGTGCTTCAGCCTCCTGAGTAGCTGGGATTATAGGCCTGCACCACCATGCCCAGCTAATTTTTGTATTTTTAGTACAGATGGGAGTTTTGCCATGTTGTCCAAGCTTGTCTTGAACTCCTGGCCTCAAGTGATTGGCCCTCCTTGGCCTCCCAAAATGCTGGGATTACAAATGTGAGCCACTGCACCCAACCAATTCTTTGAATGTCTGATAGAATTCAGCTGTGAATCCATCTGGTCCTGGACTTTTTGTTGTTGTTGTTGGCAGTTTTTTAATTACCATTTCTTTCTTTCTTTTTTTTTTTTTTTGAGACAGAGTCTCACTCTTTTGCCCAGGCTGTAATGCAATGGCATACTCTCAGCTCACTGCAACCTCTGCCTCCCGGGTTCAAGTAATTCTCCTGCCTCACTCTCCCTAGTAGCTGGGACTACAGGCATGTGCCACTATGCCCGTCTAGTTTTTGTACTTTTAGTAGAGACAGGGTTTCACCATGTTGACCAGACTGGTCTCAAACTCCTGGCCTCAAGTGATCCACCTGCCTCGGCCTCCCAAAGTGCTGGGATTACAGGGGTGAGCCACCGCACCCAGCCCTTTAATTACCATTTCAGTCTTACTGCTTGTTATTGGTCTGTTCAGAGTTTCTGTTTCTTTCTGGTTTAATCTAGGAGGGCTGTATATTTCCAGGAATTTATCTATCTCCTCTAGGTTTTCTAGTTTGTGTGCATAAAGGTGTTCATAGTAGCCTTGAATGATCTTTTGTATTTGTGCGGAATTGGTTGTAATATCTCTCATTTTGTTTCTAATTGAGCTTGTTGGGATCTTCTCTCCTTTTCTTGGTTAATCTCACTAATGGTCTATCAGTTTTATTTATCTTTTCAAAGAACCAGCTTTTTGTTTCATTTATCTTTCGTACTTTTTTTTCCAGTTTCATTTAGTTCTGTTCTGATCTTCGTTATTCTTTTCTTCTGATGGATTTGGGTTTGGTTTTGTGCTCTTTCAGACTTCTTGATGTAGGCATTTAATGCTATGAACTTTCCTCTTAGCACCGCTTTTGCTGTATCACAGTTTTGGTAGGTTGTGTCACTATTGTCATTCAGTTCAAAGAACTTCTTAATTTCCATCTTTCATTGTTGACCCAATGATCATTCGGAAGCAGATTATTTAATTTCCATGTATTTGCATTCTGAGGGTTCCCTTCAGAGTTGATTTCCAACTTTATTCCACTCTAGTACATGATATAATTTTGATTTTATTAAAGTTATTGAGATTTGTTTTGTGGCCTATCATATGGTCTATCATGGAGAATGTTTCATGTGCTGATGAATAGGGTGTATATTTTACAGTTGTGGGGTAGAATGTTCTGTAAGTATCTGTTAAGTCTATTTGTTCCAGGGTATTGTTTAAATCCGTTGTTTCTTTGTTGACTTTCTGTCTTGATGACCTGTCTCGTGCTGTCAGTGGAGTACTGAAGCTATTATTGTGTTGCTGTCTATCTCATTTCTTTGGTCTAGTAGCAATTGTTTTATACATTTGAGAGCTCCAGTGTTAGGTACATATATATTTAGGATTGTGATATTTTCCTGTTGAACAAGGCCTTTTATCATTATATAATGTCCCTCTTTGTCTTTTTTAACTACTATTGCTTTAAAGTTTGTTTTGTCTGACATAAGAATAGCTATTCCTGCTCACTTTTTGTGTCAATTTGCATAGAATATCTTTTTCCACCCTTTTACCTTAAGCTTATGTGTTAGGTGAGTCTCATGAAGACAGCAGATACTTGGTTGGTGAATTCTCATCCATTTTCCCTTTCTGTATCTTTTCAGTGGAGCATTTAGGCCATATAAGTATTATATTAGTTAGTATTGAGTTGTGAGGTACTATTCTATTCATCATGCTATTTGTTGCCTGAATACCTTGGTTTTTTTCCATTGTATTATTGTTTTATAGGTCCTGTGAGATTTATACTTTGAGGAGGTTCTATCTTGGTGTATTTTGAGGATTTGTTTCAAGATTTAGAGCTCCTTTTAGCAGTTCTTATAGTGCTGGCTTGGTAGTGGCAAATTCTCTCTGCATTTGTTTGTCTGGAAGAGAGTGTGTATTTCCTTCATTTATGAAACTTAGTTTCACAGGGTACAAAATTCTTGGCTGATAATTGTTTTGTTTAAGGAGGCTAAAGATAGGACCCCAATCCTTTCTAGCTTGGTAGGTTTTCTGCTGAGAAATCTGCTGTTAATCTGGTAGGTTTTCCTTTATAGGTTATCTGATGCTTGTGTCACAGCTCTTAAGGTTCTTTCCTTCATCTTGACTTTAGCTAACCTGATGACTACGTGCTTAAATGATGATACTTTTGCAATGAATTTCCATGGTGTTCTTTGAACTTCTTGTATTTGGATGTCTAGATCTCTAGTAAGGCCAACGACATTTTCTTTGATAGTTTCCTCAAATAAGTTTTCCAAACTTTTAGATTTCTCTTCTTTCTCTGGAATATTAATTATTCTTAGGTTTCGTTGTTTAACATAATCCCAAACTTCTTGGAGATGTTGTTCTTTTTTGTTTTTATTTTTGTCTTTGTTGGATTGGGTTAATTTGAAAGCCTTGTCTTTGAGCTCTGAAGTTCTTTCTTGTTCAATTCTGTTGTTGAGACTTTCCATTGTATTTTGTATTTCCTCAAGTGTGCCCTTCATTTCCAGGCTTTGTCATTGTTTTTTATTTATGCTATCTATTTCTCTGAATATTTTTCTATCCATATCCTGTAACCTTTAAAACATTTCTTTAAATTGGTATTTACCTTTCTGTGGTACCTCCTTGAGTAGCTTAATAATCAACCTTCTTAATTCTTTTTCTGGCAATTCAGAAATTTCTTCTTGGTTTGGATCCATTGCTGGTGAGCTAGAGTGATCTTTTGGGGGTGTTAAATAACCTTGTTTTTTCATATTACCAGAATTGTTTTTCTGGTTTCTTCTCATTTGGGTAGACTGTGTCAGAGGGAAGATCTGGGACTCAGGGGCTTCTGTTCAGATTATTTTGTCCCATGGAGTGCTCCCTTGATGTGGTGTTCTCCCTCTTCCCTTAGGAATGCAGCTTCCTGAGAGCTGAACTGCAGTGATTGTTATTTCTCTTCTGGGTCTAGCCACCCATTGAAGCTGCCAAGCTCTGGGCTGCTACAGAGGAGTGTCTGCAAAGAGTCCTGTAACATGATCCGTTTTCTGGTCTCTCAGCCATGGATACCAGCACTTGCTCTGGTGGAGGTAGTAGGGAAGTGAAGTGGATTCTGTGAAGGTCCTTGGTTGTATTTTTGTTTAGTGCACAGGTTTTGTGTTGATTGGCCTCCAACCAGGAGGTGGTGCTTTCAAGAGAGCATCAGCTGTGATAGTATAGGTAAGATACAAGGTTGCCCTAGGGTTGTCTGGGATAAGTATTTGGGTTTCTCAGGTGGTGGATGGGGCCATAGAGCTCTGAAGAGATTATGTCCTTTGTCTTTGGCTACCAGAGCGGTATAGAAAAACCATTAGGTGGGGGCAGAGTTAGGCGTGTCTAAGCCTAGACTCTCCTTGGGCAGGGCTTGCTGTGGCTGCTGTGGCTGCTGTGGGAGATGATGGTGTGGTTCTCAGGTGGATAGAGTAACATTCTCAGGGAGATTATGGCTGCCTCTGCTGCATCATACAGGTTGTCAGGGAAG